CAGAAATGCTCAGAGATGCAAAGAAGGATAGATATTACTTTTCACTATACACATCTCTGTTGATACTATCCCTCACATATTCTACTCCCAATTACTCCTGCGTAAAATGGACTAGTCTCTTTTCATATTGACATTCAGAGTAAAATCATGTGACAGGCTGTTAGAATTGGCTGTTGCATACTCTTTCGCCGGTCTGGAAAATTGGAAAATGTGTTTAATTAGCTCACATTCAAGCAACAATGCAGATTTCCCAGTGGGAGTGAAACTATTCGACTCTGCCACTAAAAAAAATACTGGTGTTTTCAGCAAAAAACTAATAACAAATCGTGCATTACTTACAGCAGCAGAATACCACAGAATTATCAGACGAAACATGAAAACACTATATATTGTATTTCAGCCTGAACCCTCTATATTGCAATTCAAGGAATTAACCCCATATGTGCATCCATTTCCCACCTTGGTATCACCCACCCCTGAAAACAAACTTTTAATACCACGCTGAAGCGTTTGGTAATAAACATAGACATAGACCGCATGAATTAGTGCGCCCTCACTGGCAGACTGGCATGTAGTTTGCATCTACTGTGCCAGCGAGAGCATAGTAACTTAGAGCCATCAACTCGGAGCAAGTCAAGAATAGTTTGAGGTCCCCACCATTAAAATATAAATCTGAAGTCCTAATGTATTTTGTCTTTTTTCAATCTTTTTTTTTTAATGAATAATTATACATTACATGATGCTTTTCGCTGTTATTCGTAACTAAGTCTATTTCAGTGTTCTTTTGACATTATTATTTATATTTCCAATGAAGAATGTTCTGAGATTGTGACCTGAAACCTAAGCAAAGCATTTTGTCATTTCAGGTCATTCCGTTAAAGCACCTATAGGAAGATGGCAGAAAGGTAAAGATTTGACTTGGTATGCTAAGGGTAAAAAAGATGGCCCTCCTTTGACAAAGGAAGAAGAATTAGCATTGATAAAACAAGCTGAAAAAGATGCCATGATGGCAGCCTTGTAAGTAAATTCAATGATTATCACAACATTGCAGCATTATTTAATTAGGCCTGGCAGTAACTCCCACTGTCTTATCTAAGATTTGAAAAAAACAGTGAATTTTCCTCATCACTCATTGGACAGTTTAAAACATGATTTGATTGTACATGTATCATATTTTCACCTTGTTAATCTTTGCAAGTGTCCCAGCTCTCATATTTTTGCAGATTAGATGGCAAAGACTGTTAACAATGATTTCTGGTTATAAATAGAGCATTTACATGTGAAATAAACCACAAATTGCATGAAAAATTGCGAATACTATGATTGATTACTCAAAATTAGTAACAATGTGTTAAAATTTTGCACACATTAAGAAATAGTGGGGGAATCGGAGCATGCAATCCCACATTCTGGTGGACTGAACTCTCATGCAAAGATATGCATAAACGTATCTTTTTCACTCAAAAAAAACAAAACAATGCAAAACGTTTCCATTCGTCTTATTTACGGTCGCACAGAATAGACATTTGTCAAGATCAACATGTAAACAAGATGTAATTACATAGAAGTGCTGCTTCAACAAATAAGAAAGTATGTGAAATTGACACTTGTCCTACTAGTAGTAATGTATTCACAATCTACAGCTATGTAGAGATATTTGCCTCAGTTCTCTTTATGTTTATTTTAAAGAGGACACAAAGTTGTTAAGAAACAAGCAAGTGGACTCTCAAAACAGGTATTGCATCAATTGCTACCTGTTGTATGTTGATATTGCTAAACAGATGGAAGGTACTTCAGCGCACCCTGACCCATGTGTTATTGTTGATCAAATTTTAAACACGATTTGTCAAAATCTTGAATTTCTTTCACTCGTATTATATTTTATATAAGCTGTTATTAAGTCTGATGCACTACAAGCGAATCAATAATGAAATAATAATACTGAATCATATGCGTTATTTATGTCTGGCTAGGAACTTGCAGAGGTTTGTCATCGAGGCACAACAGAGAGGGATGACCGGGATATTGAGAGAAAGGAAGGTATGGGATATGGAAGGTATGTTTATAAAAGATTATCTTGGCAATTGCTTGCTATGTCTGAGATCTACCGATTTGCAATTGAAACAACTTGAACTTCGGATTACTTGAGTGTTTTTTTTTCAATTCATTACTTGTAATTGTAATCTAAGATTAAATCATGGAAGGTCAAAGTTCATTCATGTCTATAACTCGTAATCATGTCGCATTGTTGATTGAATAAGTACATGTATGATAACATGTGTAGTGGTTTTCTATATTTCTTTTATTTTGATCAGTTCCCGTATGCAAACTATGGGTGTGAATACAACGAATATAAAGGAAGCTGAGAAAAGTGGAAGCACGGTGTTCGAACATGTCAGAAGAGAAGAAAACAAAAGAAAGCACTCCTCAGATGATGAAACTCACAGGTACTTGTATATGTGGGATCACAGTGTTGAGGGACTGTGGTGGGATGAAGGGATGAGCCATTAAATTTTTATGATGGAAAGACCTTGTAACAAATCATATTGAACAGCAACTAGCCAGTATTTGTTACAACTTCTAAGAACCCCCCCCCCCATTTCATTTCACCCCTGAATGATGGCGAGACTATCATTTACTAATGATATTTGAGTGAGTGGTTTAGCAGTGACTTACAAGTTTGCCTGTCATTGGTTCACCAAATAACATCCAACCAATGACACTTCATTTTACAACCAATGACATTTTTACTTGATTAAATACATCTGTTTCAACTTTAGCAAATCTACATGCTTATGTAGAATACAAGAAATCTGAATGTATTTGCATCAACCAAAATATCCCACTTTTTGCTTCCCAAGGGAGAAATCAAAGAAAAAGAAGAAAGACAAAAAGTCAAAAAAGGAAAAGAAGAAGAGGAAAGAAAAGAAGAAGAAAAAGAAATACGAGTCAAGTTCGTCAGATACTGATTCGCCATCCAGCTCAAGGAGGAGGTAATAATCTTTTTTTGTGTTATATTGTCAAGTGAATCTAGACAGAAGAAATTACAATACATTTTGTTCCTGTCAATGTTCAGACCAATTGTTTATTCATGGCTTTCATTTAGAATATGAGACATGTAACTTGATTTCTTTCACTATATACTTTAATTATGCTTTAAAAACAACTGATTTGTAAACAGTTTCATCAGGAATGCTGTGCTATTTTTATGTTTTGTTACAGAAGACACAACAGTGATTCAGATGACAATTTTAGAAGATCGAAACACCAGTCAAAGCATGCTGCACCAGAAATGGAAAGACACACTGTATTGAAACGAACACGACATGACTCTGATTCTTCCAATTCTGGGTCAGATGCTGTTGACCATAGTAGTAGGACCAACCACCCCGACAGACAGAGATATGCACAGAGGCAGCATAACACAGACAAAGCAGCAGAGACTAAAAATATGAGGGAACGAGAAAGAGATAGGCGTCATGATAGTGATTCAGAAGAAAGCCTAGATTTACGGAGACAGGAAAAGCATAAATTGCAAAGTAGTAGTAGAGACAGAGGTAGACATGCGAATGACATGCTTGATAATGACAGAAGGGACTTTCAATCCTATAGAAGATCTGACTCGCATAGGCAACATAGGAGGAGGCGTGACAGTGATTCATCTGGCAATGAAAAACGCTCAAAATTATACAAAAAAAAAGGAGTCTCATAGAAAGAGAACGAGACATGACTCTTGATGTGCACAAATGTTTTTAATCCAACAAAATGCATCAACCACCATTTGCTGTGAGATAACTTTGACTTTTGGGAAATTGGCACGAACCAACACCATGATGTTCTGTGACAGTAACCCATTTGGTTTTTGTCACAAAAGATTTCATCATCTTACAGTTTCATAGCATTTGTAACAATGAAATTTCATGAGAGTCACTGCTATAAAATTCAAAGCATATATACTAGGCAGAATTTGATACGTTGAAAAAACCTGTTGACAAACAAGCTGCTCTCTGATTGTTAGGGTTGGGTAGCCAATCAGGTACAATCCTGTAAACAGCTTCACATTGACTCCTAAAATATCATGATTTTTCATGACTCATGAAAATTTGTTTCTGAAAATATTATATAGTTTTTTGAGTATGTCTTGTGTTTAATTCTAATTGCATTTTTAAAATTTTGTTTTTAATTTTCATTCGCAACATGCTTTATATATATATACAAGTGCGAGAAAATTAAAATATTACATTTTAAAAGGTGAACAAACTGCGTATGACTGGATTATTACCATTGGTTTTAACAAATGAATCAGTATAGCCATGTAGATGTAACTTCTACATGCTCTATATTATTAATTAAATTTAATGTACTCATCCATATTAAAATTTGTCAAATCATTTTCACATGTGTGACAGTTGATTACTATATTACAGTTTTGATGATACTGGCTGCCAGCAGCTTTTTCTGAAAAACAATGGCTATGTGGCAAGTGAAATCATTAATCATATATAACCATTCCTCTTCATTCTTTTGTGTCCTGTGGGGGGGGGGGGGGACCCATCGACTTTGTTCCATCTGTTCACCCAACCATTTGTTCATGGAAATGATATTCCCCAAACTTGGTATATGGTTGATACATGATGATATACATATGCCCACCTTTTTTTCACCGGTATATGTGTAGAGCATTATTTCCAAGTTGTGCCATTCCTGTTCAAACTTAGAATATGGGTAACACTTGTTGGCATACTGAGGCATTTCCATTGTCTTTCTGATTTTTTTCGAAATTGACAAACTGGCAGCTACTTTGTTTGTTTTAAAAATACATTTCTTAATGTTTATTCAGATTTGGTACAGAGGAAGTAGGTACCAGTATATTATTTTACAAAGATGAAGGTTGATTTTCTGTCGAGATTCTATGAAATATGGCTGATGAAAATCAAAATTTTCGTCTTTTTTTGCTCATTTTTGCTTATATTCCATATTCAAGCTCTCAAATTTGTTACAAGTCGCAACTTGGTTTACAGACAATTGTGTTATAGCGTATCAACAATTGATTTGTGTTACAATACAATCCAAGATGGTTGACTTGGCAGCCATAGACCATATTGCAATTCAAAATTATTATGGGGTGACAAATACAACTACCCGGTATGCCAGTCATAAAGCACGTCTGCTCCCACTATCTGACATAATATCCCACAATGCACTATAAATTGGAATTGCATTACATTTTTGCCAACAGACATTAGAAACTGACATATAAATTGTCTGACAGTCCATTAGTTGAGTGTAAAACTGGTACATAAACGAAGGAGCATATAAATGCTGTCGTTTCATTTGTCATATATTAAAGTACAAGAACAGAGGGGCTGTGACATTCTCAACGTCTTGTTCAAGACGGTTTCAGAGACTTATCTGCTATTGTTTATTCTGGAAGGAGAGCTGATTTTCAAGTAATACACTTCTGTCATCACAGTTATATATGTAGTTATATATCAAATAAATATGATTGTACTTCAGTTTTAGTTTTTTTTCAAAATAATTGATTTAGATTCTTAGGTTGCACAGCAAGCACGTTGGCTACTGTTTGAAGGTGTGAATCACTGTCACTAGGGATAGATTCAAGGGTAGAATGCAGAGTGAACATCACTGACAGATTCATCTGTCTTGTTTTAAAACTCAGCGATTTAGATCCCTTTTTAGGTTGAACAGCAAGCAGATTGGCTATTTATTAGCAGGACTGGTAATGTACCTTTTCTGCAAGTTATGCCCTCCAGTGTTGGAGCGATTCTGTGTTGCGATGTCAAAAAATCTTGAACAGGTATTAAGTCAATTGAAAATTCCAGTAGTTAGTCAGAATATATACCAAACCATCAAAGGTAATTTTATTGAAGGATAACCACAAATCAGAAGGGTATTGTCAATCCCTTACACCAATAGAAGAACTTCATTGATTGGGGGCAAGACTAGTTGGAATGGTATGATGCGTTTCCACTCTTTGAGTTTACAACCACAATTAAATAAGAATCTACAATCTGGCACCTTTAGGGAACTTGATGTGATCCTTATTACATTCATCAGCCCTACAAAAATCTTGTTTTTAGGTGTACTCGGTACTACCGGTAGATCTAGCCACCTCATGCTTCTCGGCCAATCAGAAAGATCCATATACACTATTTTATACACTAAATTTTCTGTTTCTGAATCTTCTTTCTCGCACATTGTCTGACTTTTATATAGATCACATGACATCAAAGATGAAACACTGACAAAGATTTGGGTTCAAACTGAGTTCATACAACAGACTGCTCATTAAAATATCTGCTACACAATGTCAAATCATTGATTTTTGGGCTATCCTCGGGGGCGGACATCCGGGTATTTTCACCGCCTGGCAACCAGTGGCGGTGAAAACAAAGGCCCAAAACTCGCAGAAAACGGTACTTTGGGATGATTGTTGAGACTCCTCTGAACAGTGTAACAAGATTAGCCCTACGTGTGTAACATATATAAATTTGGTTGTTCAGGATTACTTCAAAGTTGAGTTTGTGTTGTTTTCTCGAATTTTCACCGGCTCGACCGGCGTTCCACAGCAGCGTGCACAGAGCCCATAGTAATGCATGTACAGTGGTACGCGTCTTAGCAACGTGGAACGTCTCATGACGTAGCTCCGCCCCCAAGGATACAATATTTAGAGTTAGATCTTAAAGCAGCAATAGCTGGGATTTAGGGCAAAATGACCCTACACAAGGCCTGTCACATATAATATACAATTTTAAAACTAATTGCCGGTAATCTACCGTAATCTCAGAGGTTCACTGACAAACTGGAATTCAATAGATGGCGAACTGGGCTCAACACACAGCCATATTTTTTCACTTGTGATTTAATGTACGCCGGTATATAGCATACATGCTATGCTTTTGTCAGTTTCGTGATGATCATATCAAAAAA